GAGGCCAATACTAAAACAGATCAATATATCCAGACATAACATAGATATTCGGGGAGATGAGTTGCCAAACATTGGAGCAGAGCATTTCGACCTAGACTTATCGGAACACGCCAGAAAAAACCAATGCTAATCATCCGTGGATTTCTCATTTAACCACGGAACTAGTGACGATGTTAATTGTTATGTTGAACTTCATTACGTGGAAAGTAGTAAGATATCTGCGGAATTCCAAGAGAGCAAATTTAAGTAATCCTTTTGGAACAGTCCAAACTAAATCACCTTAATTTAATGATATTAAATTTGAATTATGTATTTAGCTTCTCTAAATCATAAAATCTAAATGTTGAAGTCGTGTAGCACTGCTCGGGTGAGATAATAATTCAAAAACCGAGTCAATTAGTTAACCAGATCTATAGTTTCACGGACTGTAAACGTAGACGCACTGAAAAAAAAAACAACAGAATTTTGTGTACATAGAATTTTATTTATAAATGAACGTAAAAACATAACGGAACGTAAGTGAAACGGACTAGAACGGAAGAGTTGGCCAACTTTTATCTTTTACAGTGCGTTACTTGCGTCTGGCCAATCAAAAGGAAGAATTTTGTGCTGCCAACCAAAGTGAACTGTCCGACCCGTCTTCAATTTTGTAAAGTTATTTATCAACATATTAGAGTTTTGTTGATTATTTGTTACAATGAACGGTTAGTTAATAATTTATAAAATAATAATTATAAATTAATAATAAAAGTATATCATAGAATAATTTCAATATTTCAAATAAATATGAGTTGTTAATTAGCCTAAAGGCGGAGTCCCATGTATCCGATTTCCGACATCCGACATACGATAATCGTATGCTTTCGTAGTTGCTATTTGGAAGCTAGTCACATGGATGCGATTGTCGGATACGAAAATCCGTATAAACTGTTAACTGTCAATTTTTTTTTATTATTTGGATGTTTGGTGGTTTGGCTGGTAATTGCTGTTTTACCACTTTTGCTTAGTAAAACAGCAGAAGGGATTATTTCCGCATGGTATATAATCCCTTCTCCTGCTTTCAATTACTCAGTTTATTATAGATAACGAAGAAGTAACTATATGTAACTTATGAAATGTGTAATTACGCATTCTAAGGTAATTGCAAATATTTATCAACATCATTTAGCTTCATTTCCTACAAGAGTGCAATATATCATTAAAAGCCCCTTGTGACTTTTTTTATTAAAATATTTAACTAACCCAATATTTTCTTTGTCGAATTGTATGTTTTGTTTTTTTTGCGAATTAAAAGAAGCGGACATAATAATAGCGTTTTATTAATTAACTTTACGAACATAGCTTCTTCGATTAAAATTCATGTTTCAATAAATTAAATGTACAGATGTTAATGATTATGATGTATATGATTATGATGAAATTCGGCGCAAAAATATTCTGATTCGATTCTGACCAATGAGAATACTTTCGGATCATCGTGTCGTAGGAAATCGGATGCATGGGACTCCGCCTTAATTCGTGGTTATCTACACATATACGACAAATCCAGTAAACATTTTCAAAACCAGGAAATCGAGGAAGTACCAAGGGGCGTACCTTCGTGTATTTCATAATCCATTGTAACACGCAAAACAGATATAAACAGATAATAATAGTATAAATAAACGCAGTTTGTATGTGATTCGTATAATTTATAGGTTATGTTGAATGTTGGTTAATGTCACTCATTCATGGTCACCAACATTAGCCACTGTTTCTACTCATGCGCAAAAATTCTACTCCGTCGATTTATAAATTGACATATTGTTTACAGTCCGTTTGTTATGTCTCCTTATTTTTAATATGAAGGTTCTAGCATCCAGTTAGGGACTTCACTCCTAAGGTAAAAACACACTTTGGCATAGATTTGGTTTTGCTTGTTAAGGTATTCCCTACTTATTGTTAAAATTTCAAGAAAATCGATGCATGTTAATGGAATTTTTTTTTATGTATCCGTATCGTCTGGTTGTCTTGCATATTATATTAGTTAGCTCAGACTTTAATTTACGTTTAAATTCATTTGGTTTTATATTTTTATGGCCAATTAATGCGCTAAGAGGAAATACTCAAGCGATATAAATAAAAGGAGATAAAGCAGATCAAAAAGATAATGAAAAGAATAGGAACATTATATGGAGAAGACAATATTAACTCGGAAAAGATTCTGCAACGCAACAGTTACAGGTCCCAATTATGTATAAAGAATACAGAGAAATAAAAGAATTTGATATCATAAAATTATATTAAACTTGTTATATCGTTTCTATAGGTTTGTAGTTTTGCAATCAATTCTATGAAATGTTCAAGTTTTCATATAAAGCTATAAAAATCACTCATGTTCAGGAAGGTTCTTTATCCTGTTTTAAAATTAAGCAATAAAAAAAACAAGCTGAAATATGCTATGTCCTATATAGACAAGGCGAAAAGCTCGGGTTCGTTCCGAAAAACATTCTCATGAGTTTTTTTTTGTATATTCACTTTCATGATCATTTGTACAATGAGAATTCAAGCCAGCAAAAATTTGTGAGATCGATCTTGTTTCTCCCTCTTTGTGAAATAGAACCAAGGTCGCCAGAAGTGACCAATCACGTCGCAGATTGTCACTCTGTCCTGCCAATCATAAACAGCGTTATTAAGTGCGTTGTCATTGGCAGTTATCTTTCACTACTAGCCCCGCTAGACCTTGTTGGCCGAGTGCCATTTGAAAATTCAACTTTTATTATTATTACCCAAGATCGAACCTTTGTGAAGACTTCGATTTGAGGAAGAGTCCGAACGCTTTTTACAGTGAATACGAACGAAGTCTATTTGACTACGAACCATTCACTGAAAGGTGTAGGAGCCGGAGTAGCGACTGTTGGTCATTCTTTCGTCGAAGTGAAGAGTTTGATATTAAACTTGTTTCCTCGCGACAGAAACTGTCCACTCGGAGTGAATATTCCCTGCCTAGGCGAGCATCGATCTTTGAGATAGGAAAGACAGGTTGCCTTAGATCGTGCCGTTCTCAGACCGTGCCAAACTGGTACAGTGTTCCGCTGCTCCACTGACGGTTGGAAGTGAATAAAAGGCCCTAGTGTCCCTCCCATAAAAATGCCCCTCCGACGGTGTTCTTATACACTTTGTGGGGTGTCTGTTCGACACGTCGAAACGTAAAGATCTGGCAACTCTGTGAAATATAAAGCGTACACCACAATTAGAATACTCATATTCAATACCGATCGAGAAACCTTCGATCCTCGTCTAGAGCAGCGGTCGCAGATCATCCAGATATGGAGAATACCTCCGTGGATGCTACGGCGATAACGATTAAAAAACAATGTTTTTAAACTAAACAAACCCAAAATACTTATCGGAAAATGACAGAACAAGGTTTAAACTTGAATTTAGGTCCTTGGTAAATTCAAAAATAATATTTTTTAGTTGTGTTTTTGAGTCTTGAAAATCGTAATTTTGCATTTTTTTCAATTTTAAATTGTTTATAACTCGAAAACGATCAAAATTACAGAAAAGCTACAATACACCTATTTAGTTTCAATGGTCCAAAAAATTCAAAAACAATCTGTCCCAACCGAAAAAATTTATTGTTACAATTTGCTAAAAAAAAATGTTAAAAATTTGAACAACTTTTCGCCTAGGCGACATCTTGAACCTCATTTTGGGGTAATTCATAAAAGTAATTATGCAAACAATATCATGGGAATATTTTTTCGACTGAACTTGAGCTTTTCGTCTTGTCTAATAAAGTAAGAACATAAATATATATACATTTTTTTAGCTTGTTACGAAACGTTGACACAACAGACATTAAAAAGTAGTTTTGTTGCTAAGTCATTTGTAAGTCACTTTGCGTAAAGAATAGGTGTGCAGTAATCCATTGCCCGTTTATGGAAACTGTCAGAAATTGGTAGAATATCAAAAAGCAGGTTAAGTTATATAAGAAAGGGAGCGTCGGTAACCACTAGGAGGAAAATAGTGAAAACCTGTGTAAATTTCATAAGACCGTGTGTAATAGGCAAAAAAAATTAGTGATAATATCAGTGATTGTTGACACATTTAAAGAAATTTTTTCCGTTTCACGTGAACTGAAGAAGATTCTGGATGAAACTTGTCAGAAGAATTGGTTCTTCAAACTATAGGTGAACTCTCTCTTGAATCTATTAGACGAAATATGGTTTTTCGTTCTCCATTAGCCAAAAATTCAGGTCCAATTTCCACAAGTAAAAATCATGACATCCTTACTTATTGTCACAGATTCGGATATTATGGATCGATATACTGAAACTAAAGAACTTACAAAATAAATCAATGAAAAAAGGAGTCCCCATAGCCTCATAGGCTCCGTAGAATGTAGACCCCATACCGAAATCAGAATTTCCTCGTATCATTTGGATGGGACAATGTGACTAACCAATTCTACTACCCGAATTATCATCTTTTCACCAAAAATTTACACACGCATGATTGGTAAGGATGGTATACACGATACCTTATTGGTACACTCACTCTTATACACGAGGTACTACTAAAGAAACGTTGTGGTAAATGTGGATACTTAAATTGCTACTTTTTTATAGAGGCGTCAAGGCTTCGTTAGTTTTCTTTTGATTAACGGGCTTGTAATACTTCTGGAGTGTGCTTGACTTCAGGGATATTGCACCAGTCTGCGCAGTGTCACGATTTTTTGTGAAATGTAAAATTGTGAGTATATTTTGAATGGTTCGTCCACTTTTAGGTGATTTTCTGGTTCATCGCATTTCTTGGCAGCGTATTCTATAACGTCGTTCTTGTTTTGTTACAACACTCAAAAGATGATGTCAGAAATATTTTTTTAAAAGCTTCACAAAAAAATTTGTTTTCTACTTACAAATATAGTCAAGATTTCCAACAACGGGAACCTTTATACCTGTTACTAAATAAAGAAGTAATATATATTTGGGACCAATAATAGATTGAATACTTACATATATAATCGGGATGTCCAACAACTGGAACGTTTGTACCTAGTTTGGTAACCCTGTGCGCTGATCCCAGATCAACTAACTTGATCTGAACAGACCTCACACCGCACATTACAATATTGTCTGGTTGCAAATCTAAATGACATAGTCCTCTCCAGTGCAAATATTGTAAACCATCCAGAATCTAAAATAAAAAGAAAATCTCTATAGGTATTATGCAATGAAGAACAAAATTATTTCCTCGATAAATTATCTAGTAGTCTAAGATCCCACTGTCAGATCACTAATTAATCAAACTCACATTTTTACATATATTTAAGAATAGAAAATTACGTTTATAACAGGTTGCCAGTCAAAAATGAGCGCATTTAGTTATAATTTAATTAATTACTATTTAATTAATTAATGATTAATTAATGGTCATTACATTTTGAACAAAAATTTTGTTTCGTTCATTCATTGTTTAAATAGAATACGCCGCTCATGATTTATATGCATGTTTTTTTATATAAAATTAAAGCTATTTTTTTAATATGATCTTAAAAGATTGCCTGAGAAAAAAATGGTCGCAAATTAGTGTTAAAAATGCTGTGAAATGAGGTAGAGTATGTTTCAACTTTAGTGGCGGAAATTTCTAGTAACAGTAAAGCCTCACCAAACAAAGCAGTGGTATTCCAAAAAATACTTATAATTTAAATCAAATTGTTAAAGATAGGTACACAATTTATTAAACAATGAATAGATTATTTTTTTGCACTATTGTACTACATTTTAATACATATTTTTATAATATATCACATACATATATTGTCTATATGTGAAACCATAGATACGTATTACAGATTACAGTATTAATAAATATTAATTACAAAGATTGTTTTAACTTTAAAAACTTTATTATTTATATTATTGCTCACTAAACCGTCACAAAGTTAAATAGAAGAATATATTTTTTTGGGATTTTTTGGGAAACTTATATTCACATAGATTACATAGGTACATCGTAATGTTAAATTATATTATTCACTTTCATAATAAGATGCACTGTCGCCGTTACTAGTATCATTTAAATCAATCCTTAATTCTTCAGTAATTACATCTATGCGACGTTTACTTTCCAAATACTTATCTTCAACCTTGACAACATGTTCACACACTTTCTTCCAGTTATCTACAGTTACTCTAGCAAATTCCGTCTTCACGTCAAACACTTTAACGTCTTCTAACTTAAAATATACGTTTTATTTTGCAACTTCATTTTTTCTTTGCACCCAAACCATTTCAATAGGGTTTAACTCTGGATGATATGGTGGAAGTTTTAAAGAAACATGTCCACATTCTTGCAGCACTTTGTGCAATTTATATTGAATATGATCTTGTTTGAGTCGTTTGATGATTTCATACAGTTGCGGTTTTAAAATTGACGTTAAATTAATGGTAAATTTTTCTGTCAACTAAGATATCATATCCATTTTTTTAGAATTACTAGCTTTTTTAATTCGTACATTATGATATGACATATTATCAGTAACAACAACAGATCCAACAGACAAATTGGGGATTAACTGTTCTTTTATCCATTTTTCATAATTTTTTGAATTTATATCATCATGATAATCTTCTGTCTTAGCGCCAGACTTAAAAATCAAAAGGGCATTCTGTATGAAACCCATTTCCCCACCACCATGTACGATAACCAACCTACTTTCTTTTGAAATGTTTTTGAAAAATCCTTTGCCACTGTCATCTGTCAAGCTATTTGGCGTAGTGTGTCCTGCGTGTACATAGGTTTCATTAATACATACAATTGACTTACCTTCGCTTCTGTAATATTTAATTTTGTCCAAATATTTAATGCGTAGAGCACGAATACCACTCTGTTCAATTAATAAACGTCCATTATCTTTCGTTTTCTTCCATTTAAATCCCAAATATTTCACAATTCTGTAGAGAGAACTCACATTTGCAGTCCACTCGTACAACTCTTCAAGCCTTTTCTGCAAAAGCTTCAATGATACTCGACAACGTTCAGTCTCATGAAAACGATGAATTGTATTTATAATGAACTGTTTGTCATACTCCCTCAAGTCTGTCACGGTTGCTTTCCTTTTAGCAAGTGTAGGTGGAAATTTTAGTGTATTATTTGGCTCTGCATTTGTTCACATACTCGCTTGTTGAATGATCCTTTCTAGTAGCTTCACCCACACGTTGTTTAATACTGGTTCGATTATCTTCAGGAAATAGTATTTGCATATAATTAAATACATTGTAAAATTATTCCTTTGGATTCTGGTGTCAATCTGATCTGTTTACTCGTACTACACTTAACCATCTCTATTCTACAAACTAGTTCTAATACGTGTGGTAGCACCTTTTTTGTTAAGACTTGACAACATAATGAGGCTAAATTACGAACTCGTTTGAAATCCAGTGACTAGAAATACTAGGAAATAATTCTTATCAGTTATTTGTATGTTCTTAACAAGTCGTTAGGGAGTCATTAATAATGACTTTATAATTACGGTTTTAAGGTTACTGATACTAAATTAGAAATTAACTTTTACCAAACTTTAGGTATCAATTATTAAAGATTGTATTATAACAAACAAAACGTTTGGTATGTATAATACAATCTATGTACAATCAAACTCCATTTATTATTTAAGTGAGCAATAATTTTGTAATTAGTGCGATTTCAAATAATTTAATTTGTTTAATATTGCAACTCCACTGCATGGGTCTGATCATAGATATTCTAGTGTCTGCTCGATTAACTATTTCGTGGAAGGGCTCGCCACTCGATTTGAAATAAGCTGTATCAGAGATAAAGTGAAATAGAGTTAGCACACAACGCCACTGGTTTGACATGGGGAGTGTCAGTTGTGTATTTTTAAAACCATTGCACATGCGTCGATAGATAATGTTCTTAACTGTTAAGTCCGCTTTACATTTACGAGTATTCGGATCCGAGTTACTCTACTCGGAGTGCAACCCAGAAGTATAAATGTCTACTCGGAGCCTCTTTTCACTCGGATACGAGCTCGGATTGAAGTTGAACGCAAACCGAGTAGAAGTACGAGTACCTGTACGAGTGAGCGTCAAAGTGGTGAAAACTCCAAATTAAAAATGGCGGAACTAAGATTTTCTGCAGATCAAATGGATCAATTTATCGATCTTTATCGTTCTTTTGAATGTTTATGGAATGTGAAACTAAAGGAGTATCGGGACATTATCAAAGGAAATAATGCTTTAAATTAGATTAAATTAGGTAATCATTAACTTTAACAAACCTCTTGTAAATGTTATTTCACTCAAATGCTTTTCTTTGTCTTAATTTTTTGTCGTTATTTTTCTCCTTTAAAATGTTTAATAACACTAATGCAACAGCAGCTCGTTTCTTTCTTCATGGCGCCATTTTTAAATTCTCTTTGAAACTACTCTGATCGCTCGGATTTAATGTAAACTATTGCAGTTCCACTCGTAACTCAAATCCGAGCTACTCGGATCCGAGTACTCGTAAATGTAAAGCGACCTTTAAGCTGGATGATTCAAGTTTTGAAGTTCGTTATAGTGTTATTACGTTGATTAGGTAAAGTAAAGTTTGCATTTTAGAAAAATAAAAAAGTGTATTTTGTGTGGTAAAACTAATAATGTGTTTGATGTCAATAATTTAGCTTTTAAAAATTTTTATACAATGTTAATGTTTCGTCACAAAAAAATTATAAATATTATGATATTATTTAGTTAACTATCGAATGCATTAATGATTTTGGATATCACATAGAATGTATGAAAAAAAATACCTGCTCTGAAATTAAAAGGTAAACAAGAATATGAAGATTTTACGTATACATAATTATCCGTAATATTGTCCTTACTATGAAAATATTCATGAAATTGTTTTATATCTACTCACGCAACTGACACTCGCCATGTCAAACCAGTGGTGTAGCGCACTAGCTCTCTTTCATTTTATGTTCGATACCTCGCATTTTTAACAGCTGACAATCCTAATTTGCGACCTTTTTTCTCAGGTAACCTTATAATAGGTATCATATTATTAAAAAAATAGCTTTAATTTGATATAAAAACATGAATAATGTTAATTTATTTTTTAAATGAAAAATATTTCATTTAAAAAATAAATGAACAAAATTTTTGTTTAAAAATTAATTACAATTAATTGAAATAAAACTATTTGCGGCCACTTTTTGACTGGCAACCTATACATGTATTATTCTATTTTTAAATGTATGTAAAAATGTGAGTTTGATTAACTACGTAATGACCGCAGTAACCTTGCAGTGAGATCTCGTACTCTAGTAACAGTTCAACATTTCAATAAATATTCACTGCATATGTTAAGTAAAATAAAATTTAAAACCATATGTTCAAGCATCGATCTTTTGCATTCATAGTTTTATACTATAATTTATAATTCGGTTAGAGGATAAAGTTTATTTTAATTTAAAGGTAAAACAAAATCGCTCGGACACGTCGATTTTTAAATTTGTTATAATATCTAATCGTATCAAAGTCTTGGTATTTTTATCAGGTGACAGCCACACTCAATTTTTTTAAATAGCGAAGGGGGTCATGTGGTACTTCCTTTAAAAGTTCCATATTTTAAAATTAGTTATAAATATACAGGGTCTTCCATAACACTACCCAGTCAAAGATATGTTTTTTTAAATGAAACACCCTGTATTTTCGTAAAGCAATTAGCTTTACTTCCCCCTTACAAGCATTTAAAGTTATTCTGTGTTATATAGGGTAGGTATATAAAATGTTATAACAAACTTCCATGAAAATCATAACAAGTTCAACGCCCTGTATATTTAAAAGGGGGTATAAAAGCAACGACCAGTTGTAGCCATAGTTTTTAAAAATCGATGTCGAATAGTCAAAATTCATAAAAATGATTGATTTTGAAAATGTTCTTTAAATCTAATACAGGGTAAGTCAAAACACAAATTCATTAGTTGGTCAATATTTTTAAATGCATCACCTTGTATTTTATATCACCATCATAAATATAAATTACAGTCAAGAATTTGCTATTTTTATTGTAAACAGTGTTTCAAATGACCACTCAACGTCAACATAGGCTTAAGGAGGGTTTTCATATGATGTCCTTAAGTTTGTAAGCATTTGTGGCGTAAACTTATAAAATTCGTTTCTAATTCTGACCTATATTTCTTAATTGTTGTTGACGATTCACGGCACACTAGATCTTTAATATAAATAAGAAGTCTGGGGCTATATTCAAAATCTAGTGTACCGTGAAAGAGAAATCATTAGGTCTTCTCCAGAAGAAAAATCTTTAGAATACATCAAACGGCATATTTTTGTTTCGTGAACCTTAAGAAGACATTTGATCAATTGATCAAACTAAAGGACGTTATCTACTTAATGTACGCCAGAGAGATACCTTTAGGAATAATCAAAACGTTCGAAAATATCTACCAAAACAACACAATAAAAGTAAAAGTAGAAGAACTAACTTACTCTATTGAAACTGGCAATGGGATAAGACAGGGAGATTCCCTGAGTCTTCTATTGTTAAACCTGATTATGGATAAAATAATAAAAAACAATATATGAAATTGCGTCGTCTGCTATGCAGATGACGCAATTCTACTCTTTCAAACTGAAGATGATTTACAACGTAACCTGCACCAATTTAATATAACCGCCAGAAAATTTAACATGTTAATTTCATCAAAAAAGATAAAATGCATGGCTATATCAGTAAATTTACTGAGGTGTATATTGGAGCTGGAAAGCCAGGTAATAGAAGAAGTGATGGAGTTTAAATATCTAGGCATCACATTATTTACCTACGGAAAGCTCGAAACAGAAGTGGAAGATCAAGTGAATAGAGCAAACAGAACCAACAGGTGGCCTGAATGAAACCATATGGAGAAATAAAAATGTCGGGAAAAAAATTAACGACACAAACACAACATGACACAAAACTTTGACATGAGGAGAAAAAGTAAGTTAGAAACAGCAGGAATGAAAACCTTAGAAAAATTGATGGTAAAACACTATGAGACAGAGTTAGAAGTAGATATTCGACGTAGATGCAAGGTGGAGAACATCAAGGACTGGGTAAGAAATAGAAGAGTAGAATAGAACGATCATAGAAGCTGAATGACAACAAATAGAGTAGTAAAGACGGCAAGAGACGGTTCCCCAATAGGAAGACGATGGAACGACTACTTACAGGAGGCACATTGAAAAACAGACAAAGTCATGCCTACATAAAAAAAAGAAGAAGAATAAAATGTCGACTTTACTTAATTGCTCATTCCATTCACCTGGGTGCTATATTATTAGGAGTTCCGTCATGTAAATACTATAATTTTGACGGATGTTGAGTCGCACCTTTTGAAATAAAATAGGTAAACGATTTACTAAAAGTCTAAATAAACCTCTCCATTCTAGTTTCCTTATAGAAGAAAGTTCCCATTAGATAATTAACTAAGACATCACACCTCCACGAGGATTGAGGTACCTACCGGGCGCGTCTGGAGGTGGCGGATAGGAGAACGGCTTGAGACATTCTCTAGCTAGAGGGGATTTGGGGAGATAGAGGATGAAATCTTTAAATCCCCTACTAAAACCCCGTCGCGGACCACCTCCTCCATCTCCAAGTAAAGGTAACGCGATGTAGATGGAAACCAGGCAAAACTCTTCTGTAAATAACCTTCTATCTCTAGCTACTCATGGGATCTAAACTGACAAGGAACCATAAATCTAAAACAAAACCAAACCCTTCCCCTCAGGTAAGTGGCTCCTCCAGGGTGCCCACCACCCCTGAACCTGTAACAGGCACCCAGTTAAGGGTCTCGTCCTCACTACCATCGGATAGCTCCCCATGGGGGCCTCCGCTTCAACCTTATCATCGGAGAGCTCCCCTATGGATTCTTCCGTGTCCGCAACATTTAAGAGCTTCATGGTTTGACACTTTCTAATTAATTTCTACGGATTTGTTGTACAGTAATAGTGGAAATTATAGTGACACATCCGTTTTTGTTCATCTCCGAGTAATATATTTTTGAAATAAGATTTTTACAAGCTTTTAAAGAAAGTGTCACATGAACTACTTTACTATTTAAAAAGGATATTGAGGGTGTGGCTGTCATCAGATGGGCGTTCATCAAAATACTGAAACTTTGATACCATTAGATATTAGAGCAAATTTAAAAATCGAGAGGTGTGTAACACTTTATCCTCTCACTGTATGTTTAGTACTTGTTCTTTTGCTCGATTTCCATGAATAAACGTTAATTTTTCTTTAATAACTTTCAGATATAGTAAAGGTTTTAATCTGTTATGGATTTTGTTAGTTTACTATATTTGAAAGTACAAGCTTTCTTTAATTACAAAACAAATACAAACATATGTTTTACACTATTTCTGTTAGTCAAAAAATCAAAATTTGATGAAGAGAATCTATATACTGATTTTTTAACAGATATACTGCAAAATAACTTTTTTACTGCGTACTATTGTACAGAGTATAAACTACTTAAGGTTATAATATATATAAATTTTTAGGAAATAAAAAGTATACTTAAAGGGAATGGTGGAAAATGTTTGATAAACTTAAAACTTTTGTGACTTACCTGTGAGACAATTGTAGCTACTGTTTGTTCAGTATATTCATGTCGACTTGCTAAATATGTTAAAATGTCGGCGCCTTGAAGCTTCTCCAAAACAAATACAGCAGTGCCGTTGGTACGATATGCTGCTAAAAGACTGGCTATTCTCTCGTGCCTGAGCGATCTTAATGCTGCGAATTCACCCTCTACGTCTTCTCTGGTTTTGTCATTATAGTCCAAAATTTTCGCCACGACGACAGTATCATTGCGTTTGTCGACGCCTTTAAGTACCACCGAGAACTTGCCCCTGAATTTAAAATATTCGTAAAAATTAGTACCATCTCAAGTAACATTAATTATAAAACTAAACATTTTTATTAAAATATTAATATAGTTATTTACCTCGATATTTCAGAAATGAAATTATATTCCTGTTGAACATTTGAATCTTCCCATTCCACCGGAGATGATTCTAATTTATAATCCAAGCGTGTTCTGGATTCCTCGTCCACCTCTTTTCCACTATCTGTAAGTTGTTGAAGATGCAACATTGCTTTGCTTAATTGAATCTTCGGTGATCCTAAACAATAATAAAATAAAAAATAATTCAGTTTACTTTTTCATAGAAAATAAATTCTTTAATAATAACCAACAAAAAGACTTAAGAACCAAAAAGATGATATTTATGTTAAATTTTAACAAATACTCCTTTTAGTAGTTAAACGTAAATTACGAACCAATATTGAATATTTATGCTAATTATATCTCGTGACTTTAACGTCTTTTAGCAACATATAACCGTAAACAAATACGCCTTTAATGCCATATCCAATATGTTACCTAAACATATTCCGCAAATTGTGGGGTGCTTACCTGCAGGTTTTGTAGTAACTGGTGCAGAAGGTACTCCAGGATCACTCCAACCTATCGAATTCTTCGCCGCCAGTCTAAATATATAGCTCTTGTTCGACTCCAGCCCAGATATCAAGTAAAACTCGTGATCAATATTGTCAGCCTTCTTTATCCAGTCCAACTCATCCGCTGCCTTATATTCCAAGCTGTAACATATTACAGCAGCATTGCCATCAAATCTTGGTTGTTTCCAGGCCAACAAAATCTCAGTATCAGACGTTTGCTGGGCTTCAGGACTATCTGGTTCATCTGGTACTAGACCCAGAACTATTCTGGTTCTAGATACTACTTGTCCAATTTTATTACGAGCTACAACTTTATACAATCCTTGATCAAAGTTAAGGGCTGGGGTTAGTTTGAAATGCGATCTACCATCTGCGTCCGTAAAGATTTTGATTCTGTGTGATTCTGCCACTATGGAATCGTTCCTGGAATAAATTAGTTAAAACTTAAATTCGGCTTTTAAATACAAGGAACTTAATAAACTAAATTTACACCATTGATATTTATATTTACAAAAAGATAACTAAAGATTTTTAAATTTTTACAAAATTTACTATTAACTTATGACTTTGACGATGACCTTGATTATAGAAATTCACTTTAAGAAGGCCACACATTACGTAAAACGAAATGGATCGGAATGGAGCAGAAAGATAAGGAATAAAATAGAAATTCTGAATCTTCGAAAGTTTTATTTGTGTACCTAATAAGTAATTTATTTCTAAAAGAAGAATCTCCAACGCTTGAGATATAATATCAATATATTTCTTGCATTGGAACTATTTTTAATAGATCGACGCAAATTCTCGCACTCGCTGACGATATAGTTATAGTAGGCAGAAATATGAGAGACATGGTGCGGTGTTTTACAAGGCTTGAAGACGCAGCAAGTTAATTAGGACTTGTGGTAAACGAGGAACACTCTTCGTGCTACACCTATCTTCATTCAAGGTCCATGATTCAACACTATGAAACAGCAGAAAAGGCCTAGCATAACAGCATTTTTACGTTTATGCCAAGAGAGGTTGTGACTCTTGAAGAAGGTCCTCATCCGGTTGAAGGTTGATCTAGCTTTTTCGATGCGCGCTCTTATTTCCTGGTTAGCTGGTCCATTCTTTCTGTAGTGTGGTGTCGAAATAATCGTAGTTTTACTGGTGTTTGATTTACATATAGTTGATATTCTGTTACCTTTTTCTTGCGAATTATCATGACCTTTGTCTTCTTTACATTTATATTAAGTCCATATTGTTGACTGTAATACGTGATTTTGTTTATTGTAGGTCTTCTAGGATGTGCGCCAATACTATGGTATTTTCTATATACATCTGAGGTTGTTTAAATGGTACTAGTTTAGTAGAATGCCTTTTTAAAATTCGTGCAAAGCTTTGCTAATTATTTTTTCAGAGTGGAAATTCAAGCTTAGATGAGACAAAATACAACCTCGCTCCACGCATGATTTTCACGTATGCGGTGTGCTTACCTCTGAGATTTGCGATCTGATTCCAGTAAAGGTTTCTAATTTTTTTCAGATCTTTGTTGTTACTTCCTGCTTTTTTTAGCATTTGCATCATCTTTGCGCACTGAACTCGATCAAGCGCTTTCTCGTAATCAATCAGAAATACCTATACGTCGCAATTGAAACGCCTTTGTATCTCTGGAATAAAACTTATTAGAATTCTGTAAGAATGTGTTTGTAACAACTAGGCCTGAGTCTTCTGCAAATTTTTCTAGGAGGTTTCGGCTCCCGTTTCTGACTCCAAGTCCATGTGCTTAGGCCCAAGCTTCCTCTTTGTCAGCAGTAGGAGCATCAACTTGGATGATGTTTACATTAATGGAGTTGGATTGTACTTGTAATAACATCACTCTCTCTGATATAATGTAAGTAACACATTTAGCAACTTAAGTGATACGAGTACTCTGACCCCGTATTCATGCAATTCATCAATTTGTTCCAAGAAGTATACCTTTTATTGTGTTTTGTGTCTTGTGTTTTTTCAGAATCTGTCCATCTCATTTCTGCCATTCTTATGATTTCAATATACAGTGTGTTTATCTTCTGTATTGTATTGTGGGTTTTTCCTGCTTTGTAAAAGGTTTTGACGTTTCATGTGCCAATCTTGATATTTCTTCTGTACTTCACTTTTTTATCTTCTGGTGAACTTAAAACTGTCCTGTTAGGAGATCCGATTGTAGGACCTACTTCTGAATTAATTTTAGTATTGAGCATTGCCATGATTGATTGACTAAGGGCTTATCGCTGTGGATCTTTACTGGGCTATTTGCCCTACTTGTGCTTCCCCATTCTTATGTCGTTGAACAAGTTTTTATATCATCCGCCTTCGAGACCGACTTTTCGGTTCGACAAAAGGGTGCTCTACTACTTATCAACTGCCGTTGATAAGAATGGGGATTGCTTATACCGGCAATCACCTGGCGAGTGGAGGGAAAATTTAGGAGTATGTGAATGGGCAAAGGCCAAGTAACGCAGTTTTTACGCGTTACTCGGCCTCACTCAAATTTGACAATGCGAGCAATTCTGTTCCAGTCTGATCCATTTCACGGCCTTTTATGGTAGTTTGTAGACTTTAATAGGTGATTTTTTTTATGGATAAACCATAAAATATTAAAAATATCCATATATTTAAATTCTTCGTACTATTTTAGATATATACGGAATATTTTTTTTTATAAAATTGCAATGACTTAAAATCTAATGGTGTGTATTCATTCAAAGATACTAAAAAAAGTAAAAATCATATAGTGTTCAGTTATACATGAAAAGAATTTCGATAAAAATCAGTCGAAGTTATCAACTAAACATATATTTTCTTACTTGAACCACTGGACTATCGGTTGTGGTTCGCCAACTGCCAAACATGTCAATTCGAGGTCTTGCCCTTCTGTCATTGCAGCTAAACTTGGTTTTTCTCTGAAGAATGGCAAACGTCCTTCTTGTTTAGCTTCCAGGAAGGCTTCAGCTTCCACGTATGCATCTAAACGTGATCCTAAAAGCATAAACAACAGTAAAAAACATACATTTTTAGCTTAAAACTGCCGTCAGTTTGGTTAAATTACGACACAAAATAATAAAAAAGAACGTATTGCGAGGGAGTGCCGACAGAAGTGAAAACTTCTTAGCTTGCGTTGAAATTATAAGTATGTATGGTAACAACGAAATTAAAATTATGAGTAAAATGAAAAATAAATTAACTCCATTTAAGTACACAACGTCGCTAAAAAAGATTTCGCTTCAATGGTATATGATGCACACAATGCGTATACAGCACTTGTATAGGCACACAACGCGTAAAATGGGGAAAAAGCATTGAACTCGCTACAGATTTTTGCGAACGTCACCGCTACGGTGAGATATATTATGTATGTGTACATTCAAAAATTTTTATTTATTTATTTCAACGGTAGGACCGTTTACAATAAAATACAACAAATCGTAAAAAGTAAAGATCATGTACAATAAACATCAAAACAATAACAAAGAAACAAGTAAGAAAGAAAGAATCCGATAGGAGATCATAGCAAGAGCTGAGCATTCTCTTCTTCTTCTTCAAGTGCCCTGTCCGTTGCGGACGTTGGCTATTAACATGGCAATTCTGATCTTTTTTGCGGCGCTTTCGAATAGTTCGACCAATGTGAGCCCTAACCACTTCCGCAGATTTAGCATTCGATTTAGAATTTGAGCATTCTCGAGAAGGGAAAATGACGAGCATAATCAGTCCTATGAAAAGGAATATAAAAGAGTGCAGTGTGTCGAGTTCTATGTATTTTTTTTTTATTTAATTTAACGTGCTTGTGACAGCTTCGGCCATTAGCACGAGGCACTGTTTACAATTATATACAAGGTACAATTACATATTATAATATACTATATTTATATATTATTTAGTAAGTTTTCTAGCTTTAGGAACTGGATAGCCGTGATGACTTGGTTCTGGTTCGATAATATATCTGTGATGTCGTCCTTCATGCCCAGTTCTTGGCGTCGTTTATTGTAATGAGGGCAGTCCACAAGGATGTGTAGAACGCTTAGTGGAGATTGGCAATAGTGACAGATTGGCTCAGGTGTAGAATTCATTAGGTGACCATGTGTAAATCTGGTGTGACCGATACGCAATCTTCTGGCAACTACCATCTCATTTCTAGATATACCGGGGATAACGAACCGCTCAATCGTCTGATCTATTTGGTGTAAAAATGTAGTGGATTGGTTCCAATGATTCTGCCAGTAATTTCGAACGAGTTTCTTTATACTAGTTTTTAGGTCAGTGGCGATTTGTATATTACGTACTATACAATTGGATACAGCAGCTTCTTTGACAAAGCGATCGGCGTTGTCGTTACCCGTAATCCCGATGTGGGAGGGAATCCATATGATAGTGATATAGATGTCGTGGATGATAAGATTTTGGTAAGTGTCATGGATTTTTTCTACAAGGGGGTGATTAGTAAATAGATTATTGATGGACTGAATAGAGGCAAGGGAGTCTGTACAGATGGCAATATGTTGATTGGGTGTTGTGCAGAGTTTGAAGGCTTGGTAAATAGCATACAGTTCACCAGTGTGAACGCTGCATGTCACAGGTATTTGACATGAACTAACGACTGTTTCCGTAGTAGCAACCGCACAACCAACCCCCGTTTCGCTCTTTGATGCGTCAGTGTAGAGGACCCGATCGAATTTCTTAAAATTAAGAATTTCTAGTAAGGATTTCCTAATCAAATCCTGGTTGGTTTCTGCTTTACTAAACTTTGTAAGAGACACATTAAATTTCGGTAAAGCTTTGGTCCAAGGAGAATTCTGCGGAATCGGGAGAGGGTTGGTTAGGGATAAATTAATATGTGGTATTAAAGTTGGAAGTAGGAGGGCGATAGTGTGTATGCGGGGAGCAGGAGGGTGAGTACTAGTATAGTTCGGTAATGTCAGCAGTGTGTGTACAGGATTAGAAAGGTTAGCTGAAGTAGAGGCAGCATAAGAAAGGAGGAGATATTGGCGCCTAAGCCAAAGAGGAGGTTCGTTGGCTTCACGGTAGAGGCTCTCAGCTGGACTGCTACGAAAAGCTCCTAAACAGAGGCGGATGGCAGTATTGTGTACTGAATTAAGGGTTTGTAAGGATGTTTTGGATGCTGACATATATATAAAGCTGCCGTAATCGAGTTTAGAGCGAATAAGAGACCTATATACTTTTAATAGTGTACATTCGCTAGCGCCCCATTGGTAGTGGGAAAGTGTTTTGATAATATTTAAACGTTTCAGGCACTCTGCTCTAGTTTCCTGAATATGTTGTTTCCAAGAAAGCCGGGAGTCGAATATTAATCCTAGAATTTTGCGGTGATCGACGACTGGGAGAGGGTGGTTATTCACTAAGATTTTAGGGGCAGTGGATTGTGTTTTTCTGGTGAATTTAATAAGTTGTGATTTAGTGGATGAGAGGGACAGGCCGATGGCAGTCAATCTATTTTGTAGTAAGTCCACTGATGTTTGGAGAAGTTTGCAAGTAGTAGTGGTCGCAACACCATGGCAATAAATTACAAGGTCATCAGCATATGTAGTAAATTTGACTGGGGAGGGAAGACTGTGGCATATATGGTTAATCGATAAAATAAACAATGTGGGGCTTAATACAGAGCCCTGAGGGACTCCGTCTTGTTGGATGTGGGGTGATGATAGGCAACCATTTACAGAGACTCTAAAAGATCTAGAGCTAAGAAAGTGCTGGATGAATTTAAAAATATTTCCGTTGAGGCCGTATAATAATAGTTTATCGAGAATAATCTGTCTAGGTATTTTATCGAAAGCAGCTTCAATATCAAAAATGCAGGCAATCGCTTCTTGACTGTTGTTAATAGCTTCGGCGATGTGGGTATGAAGGAGGACGAGGTTATCGCTTGTGGAACGATGTCGGCGAAAACCAGATTGTTCTTTAGGTAAAATTTGGTGTTTTTCAATAAACCATAAAAGACGCCTATTTATCATCTTCTCCATTAATTTGCACATGGTGCAAGTGAGAGAAATCGGTCTATAGGACTGAGGAAAACTTGGTGTTTGGCCATGTTTTAGGACAGGTATAATTACGGATGTGTTCCATTGAGTAGGAAATATTTGAGAAGACCAGATAGAATTATACATGTCTAACAGAAAAGTGAGGCAACGGTTGGGTAGGTTTTTAAGAAAAATATAAGGGATATCATCAGGGCCGGCGGAAGTATTTTTGCATGAAGATAAAGCAGATGTAAGTTCAGAAAGTGAGAAAGGAGAATTAATATTGTCGATATCTTGTAAGTGCTGTGAAGTGAGGTTGTAGGAGAGCGGTTCTTGTGTAGAGGATGAAATAACGGGTTTGAGTTTGTTGTGAAATTGTTCCTCAAATGTATTAGCAAGGGTATTGCAAATAATTTGGCTGTTGCTAGAAGAAATGCTGTTAGAGATTAAATGGTTAATTTTTGTGTTAGTTTTTTGTCCCTGAACTTGTCGAATTTTTTTCCACATTTGGGAGGGATTTGTGTTATCATTCAAAGACGATACATAGTTATGCCAGGATGTTTTCTTGCTCTGCTTGACAACATATTTAGCTTTGGCTTTCAGCTTTTTATACTTAATTAGATTTTCAGGACTTTTATGTTTGCGGTATTGATTGAGAGCAGTCTTTGATTGTCGAATTGCGAGTTCACATTGAGAGTTCCACCAAGGTACAACTTTATGTCGAAAACTAATTGTGGTTTTGCCAATATGAGTTAATGCTGCTTTAATTATGGCATCTGAGAATAGTTTTATGGAATCATCAATATTATTTGAGTAAGGTAATTCGCATATAAGGGATTCAGATTTTTTGGAGAATTCTGGCCAATTAGCCTTGTTGAAGCGCCAATAACTTCTCACTGAAACTTGGTCATAGGTGTTGTCACGTATAATTATAGGGAAGTGGTTGCTGTCGTGAAGGTCGTCTGCTGTTTGCCAGGATAAGTTGGGGCCGATTTGGGATCACATATGCTTAGATCGATGGCAGAAAAAGTACCTGAAGCAATGTTAAAGTGGGTGTATGATCCCGTATTGAGGACACATGAGCTAGTGCAATCAAGAATATTTTCAACAACTTTACCACGTCCAAATGTACGCGAGGATCCCCACATAGTGTTGTGGGCGTTGAAGTCTCCTACAATTATATAGGGTTGGGGGAGTTGGTATACCAAATCAAGGAGTTCTTCTTCCTTTAGAATGTAGTCAGGAGGGATGTATATAGAACATATGGTAAGTTTGTTAGGGCAGTAAGTAGTAATGGCGACAGCTTCGAGATTGGTAGTCAGAGGAAGAAGAGTGGAGTAATGGTCTTTAGAAGCAAATATAGATGCACCTCCACTAGCTCTGGAGCAGACAGATCTGATGTAATGATACCCTTCAAAATCTTTGAGTGTATGGAGATTAGTTGACGTGAAGTTAGTTTCCTGTAAGCAAATGTAGGTGGGGTGGTGGAGAGATATCAGTAGCTGCAGACGTTCTAAGCGCGGATAATATCCGTCGCAATTCCATTGAATTATAGTGAATATGAAAGATAAATTAAGGCAGGTCGGTTTTGTCTAAGGAGGGGTCACTGTCGTTAGAGCTAACAGATGCAAGACTAACAGTATCAATAACATCATTTAGATTCATCGTAGCCTTAATTTTTTTTTTGTATGCGAGTTATACGATTTTTAAGTGATCTATCTGAGATATTATGGTAGATTTGTTTGAGGTCATCAAGAAGGGCGTTAATGTTCGTAGTAAATTGGTATGCTTCAGCTAAGGGGTCATGGCAGCCGAAAGAATTTTCCAAGAAAGCAATTAGTTGTAACGAGTTAATTGAAAAGGATGATGGGTTTGCTCCTACAAGATTTTCTATGATTGAGCGAGCAGACGGGCTGATGGTGGCTGATGGTTCTGTATCTTTGGTTTTCGATTTTTTTTTAGGGGCTGATTTGGGGGTACGAAAGGAGTTGTCATGGATGGAATGTGGATCGATTGGAGTGTGAGTAGTGGGATCTGAACTGACAATTACAGGGGGAGAATCGAGGCTTGAGTCAGTTGAATGGGCTCTTTTAAGCAGGGCGATAGTAGGAGGTGTAGGTTGAGGTTGATTTAAAGGTAGGGGTGTGATGTTAGATAAATTGTCAGAGGGAGAATTTGGGTCAGAAGTGTGAGAGGTGCCAGAAGGTGCGGTGGGGTTATTGTTGGTGGATGCATTAGTTACGTGGGCGAAACGGGGGTCGGTAGTTGTATCCGGTGGGTTTTGGCAGGTTTCAGCCGTATGTCCGGCTTTTTGGCAAAGAAAACATTCTAGTTTGTCTGATGTAACGAAGATTCGGAAGGAAGTGTTTTCAAATTGTATTAATACGGAGGTTTGTATTTCGAAATTCTCTTTATCTGGTATTACGTAGATAGACCGTCGAAAACTTAGTATATGGGAATAATCTTCTTCGGGTGAGCCAGTACGAATCTGAGATACAGGTGAAGCTAGTTGCAGACCAAGTTCGTTTTTTAATGCTTGCTCGATGAGTTGATTTGGAATCGATGGACATACATTAGATATTAACAATCTTTTAGTTGGGGATATGAGTCTGCGGATGTGGACGATTTCATTTTTAACGGAAACGGAGGGATTGTTTTTGAGAAGAATATCGACGTCAGAAATAGAAGCAAGAAAGATGCAAATGCGTTGGTTGGATATGCGGGAAGCGTGGGTAATACGTTTTGGTGTTACGATTTCACCGATCGCCTTAATGTAATCGAAGAGAGCTGTATCCGGAAGAGCATTTAAAACTATCGCTTGCTTTCTGCTAGGATATGATGTAGCCGGTGTAGGTTTTGTTGTATTTGATGTGGTAACAGCTGCGTAGCTAGGAGCGGTGGGTTGAAGAAGCATTTTTAAATATTCTGGATGCCAAAATATTTAATGAAAATTAGGCGCAATGCCTGGCCTATTAGTGTGTTTGTATCAAATATAATGTTCTCTACAAAAGTACATACCAAGTTGTTTCACAAAAAACTATTCACTTTCATTAATTACTTGATAACAAATCACATTAACTGACAAGTTTTTTATAACAAATACTATTAGAATAAGCCGAGGTGTTGACTCGTTGGCTTTTCGAATAGGAATGGAGTTCTATGTATTGTGTTATTGTGAAATGGATATCTCGTATGTGACTATACGTTTATTAATAACGAAGGCGCTCTATAGTGCCCTTTTGGTAGTCGCATTGTTTGTTTTTATATCTTAATATATTCGTTATATCCTTCCCTTTGTATATCGCTTGTGACGATTCGATCAATTGTCTATTTTGTACTCAGCCAGATGTTCTCTTTAAGTCAATAAATTAAAATTGGTCTTATATTAAATCTATTTTCATCCGTAGTGCCCTATCATATCTCGTATGTAACTTTACATTCATTAAGAACGAAGATGCTTTGTAGTGCACTTTTGATAGTCACCTTGTTTGTTTTTTTCTATCTTAATATAATCGTTATTCCTTCTCCTTTCATTTAACAAATCACACGCTCCAATCGGACTAATAACAACAAATATATGAAGTAATTGTCTTTTCTTTCGGCAATTCCGCCATGTTTATTTTTCTGTCATTGTACTAGTTACCATCTCCCCTTTCTAACGAGAATCATACGTCACGATTCATCAAGCCATTCTCTAGCTGTGCTACGTTGCGACCAATTTGCCATAACCACTGAACTACGGTCGCAATAAATTTGTGTTTTATAACACCAGATTTTGAAAATGTTGATCGGAAGTTGGATTTCATAGCATAGGTTGGTGAATTGAGTACTAAGTTCCCATAAATTTATTATTATTTTCAAGTTACACCAGCATACTTTAAAATAAGTTATTTTGCAAAATTTCAGCAGCATATACGATTTGGGATTCTCTTTTGGGAAGAAAGTAGCGAGGCAAGAAAACAGAAAACACTCGCTAGGATACAGCTTCGTTTGATTCTTAGATATGCAGAGAGGTAAATTTATAGAGTTGGGTATTAGGATTGTAACAGGAACACATGTTTATGAGTGATTAACGTTTTCTTCAAAAATAAAAATATATTTGAAACAAACATTGGTACATTAAGTCACAAAAATAACTACAATAAACTAGTACATAGACATTCTACCATACAGACACAAAAAGTTTATAATAAATTGCCAGATGTGGTCATAACAGAAAAATACTTTTAAAAAAATTAGGAACTCTCAGTGGCGGACTAAGGTTAAATCGGGCCATAGACAACATTGTAATTCCCGGCCTATTTTTCGGTCATGACACATAATTTGCATTTGGTAGTTTGGTTTCAAAGCATATAGTTTTTAGTTCTATTTAATTCTCGGATTCCAAGAAAAAACTTTGAATGGTTACATAAACTTTCAGAAGTATGTTTTGAATTTGGGAATGTGGCAATATTATTTTTCTTAATAAATAACCACATGGATACAGGCGAAATAATATTTTCTTTACTATTACGTAACTAACATCACTAACTAGTCACTAACGAGTCACTAACATCACTATCACGAAAATTGTTTTAAAGTTAATGGTTTTCACAGCAAATAATCAGGTCCGTGAGTTTTCTTAGTTCTGATAATTTTTTTTGTACATTTTTCCAATCATTCGTCCGTTTTGCAATTAGCGTTGCTTGCTTGGAAAATAATTTACAGACCTAATTATACAGTAAATTGTTGATTTCAATATAATCCAACCAATCTTATTTAACTTTTTCCCCGCTATTCATTGTTCAGAAGAATAAGGCAATAGTTAATTTTCTTGTGATTTGTTTTGAGCCTTCGTTCCATCGAATAGAAGATGATTCCAAAGAGTCATTTATTGATTTTAGTAGATTTTTTATTTAATACTCTTGCATGGCGTCTGTTAAGTACCTGGCTATAATGCAATGTCGTTTACAAAACCCTCAGTTTCATCATTACTTTGAGATGATTTTAAATTTATATTTTCTTCTTTTATTTTATCTTCACAATCGGAATTGCTTGGTTTCTCCTGCTGATATTTTTGCATAATAGTTTCGGACACAAACGATGTTTCTGGAGTTTAACAGGTAAAATGTGTGAAAATGAAGACGATTCTTGTAATTGCCCTCCATCTCCAGTTAAAGATTTTCCAACGTTCTTTTCATTTGATTTGCCACTTTGTATCTATCTGCTTTTCGGTTTCTTTTTTCACATCCACTTAAATTTTTATAGGAACTCACTTTAAAGACCACGTACCAAAAAAAAAAGAAAAAAATGATCTTCAATTAAATTTATTTTACCTAATATCACTTTGTATTTATATTATATTAATTAAATAATGTAGGACTTTTTAAAAAAACTTACATTTGTTTTATTAATTCGAAGATATTAATTAGTCTAATTACTTTTTCCTAGGGGCAGCAATCTTTCTAGCCGTTTGGTGAACTTGCAGTAGCCTTGGCGGTTTTTGGCTTAGATGCCTTTGGTTTTTTCGTAGGACTGCCTTAATTTGATTTCTTCGCTTTGGTTGGTGTTTTTACTTTCACCTCTGTGGAAGTCGAAATTGGGGATGACGATGACGTAGTTTTAGGAGCTGACTTCTTTTCAACTTCCTTAGCCTGCCCGGCTTTTTCTCTGTCTTTGATGTTGTTTCTTTAGCCTTAGTAACTTTCTTTACAAATTTTGCCTTTTCGCTAGTAGCTGGACGTTTAGCTTTCATTTTTCTGCTGAATTAGACTTTGTACAAGATACAATACGTAACGTTCAGAAGACTGAATTAAATAGCTACGTTTACTTTTTAAACTCCTCGATAGGAGCGAGACCCTATCGTATTTACACACATCGATATCGAACCTGCGGGTGTGGATGCATATGGACGGGAACGCTCGTCCACACTTGCCGACTTCATCAAACAACGATTCGGCATAATTAGTTATAAAAATTAAATTTTCGGGCCTCAAAAATTATGGGCCCTAGGCACGTGCCTAGGTTGCCTAGGCCTTAGTCCACCCCTGGGAACTCTACATCAAATCTTATTGTTAATCTTAAATCGTAGGTATTCAACTAGTCCGGTAATATACTACATTGGATGATGTAAACTTCATTAAGTGAGTAATTTTCTTTGTTTTCTTTTGCGCTTTCCTTTATTAATTTTATAATTGTGATTTTTGCCATATTTGAATATATGATAATGATAAGTTATGGATTTTGTATTTAAAAACGATTCAAAAGTGGTTAACGTAATTAATTTTTTCTATCAAACTCTTAAAGTGACTTACCCAATTCGTGTCTAATTCTTCTCGTTGTCGGTTCTCTTTCCACGGAGCCATATCTATTGATGCGAGCTTTCCTTTCATCATCAATTTCCTCATCCATGATGTCAGTAAATCTTCGTCGTTCTCGAATAATAGGTGTCTGAAAATATATGGAAATAAATTAATTAGGCCATTGTTTTCATTACAAAGATTAGTAACTCACTCCCCAATCATATCCATTTTCGTCTGAGAGGATATAACCTGATCCTGGACCACGGATAGCAGCAACTTTCATATATTCACGAAGACGTACTGGGAAGTCAACATCTCTTAGTTGAAGCAAATATGTGTCTGGGCCATTTTGATAACTAGAAAAAATAAGTATATAAGAATGAAATATTTGGTGCACGATAAAGTATTAATTATATAAACTTTGATCAAGTAAAAGGCAGATATCGAGCACAGTTTTATTATTTAAATCTTGCCCAAGTACTTTTGCTTCCTAAAGCATCTTCAGGGGCATATGAAATAAGCCAAGAAACGTTTTTTCAATTGAAGAAATTAATTAACTTAGATAAAAAATTCGAAGTTGATGGTTGATAAAAGTTTTTATGTGATGCACGTTTTAGACTTACTTCCTCAAATTTGGCATATCCAACAATAATAGAATGTTATAAACATAAAATTGTATATAACACTACAGTACACAAGACAAACACTTCAAAAATTTTAAAATAGGCGAAGCTACATTATGGTCGTGACACATGATAGCTTGGATGGGCAGTCACAATCATAAATATGTGATCTGCACATTTCAAAATTCTATGAAACCAGATATAATCCAGATCTCACACTCAAACCAGTCTATAGTAATTATTATGTTAGTTTGAAAGCAACTAAAGTGTGAATGCAAGAAATAGAAATAGACTAACCAATCTATTAGACAGTAGGTGGTTAACTACAATAAAAAGGTCTACCAAGCACTATAAATACTGTGGAAAAGAAGAAATCTGACTATGTAATTAAAATACTAAAAATTAAAAATCAAAATTGAGAGCAAAGTATATAAATGGGGTATAATCCAAGTAGTTCAGTTAAACCCACATTCAATGGGAGAACTATAAATTTAATATGTCAAAGCATTACTCAAGACCAACTGACCAATAGTGGGAGATGTTGAAATATACAACTCTGAAGATGGTATATCTAAATTACGAAGAGGTATGGAAAGTGTAATTAACGCCAACTATAGATCAATTAAACCTGAGGAAGCTAGTTTTGTAAACTATTGAAGAATAAAATAGTAATGTTGATTAAAGTATGAAATTAATATATTCTTTATGGATATACTCAGTGCAGGAAGTCTAAACAGCCGAGCTGGGTCCCCTACGAGGTGAAGCTGCAATAAAGTTTTTAAAAATAGGTTTAAATTTACTTAGTACAATTTAAATTAATTTGAGTATTAAGACAGTGAGAGTTTCCATTTGTTTCCTTTGTAATCCCCAAATCTTCCAATAAATCCAACTCTAGATAGTTTTTCTTTCTACTAACGTCATGTAAAATAGATAAACCAGTATTGATGTTAAAATTGTGTTTACTGGATAATAAGTGTTGACCAAAACTCGAAGAGTTTGGTCTTTTCAAATGTTCTGAAACTCTAGTGGATAACTTTCTAATCGTTCTGCCTACATAAGAGGAATCACAATCATCACATTTTAATTTATAAATACTACTTTTTCAAGTATGTTCATCCTATCTTTGGTATTGATTAAAAAGGTACCTAAAGTGTTGTATGACTTTGAAGTTTTGAGTTTTCAATTGTAGAAGTAAAAAGTTTAGATATTTTATTGGAAATGTTGCTAATATAAGTAAAGGAGGAATATCTGATGTTATTTGAAGCATTAGGTTGAAGAAAACATTGTGATGAATACGCAAGCATTTTTGCAATTTTGGGTTTATCTATATTTAAAAGCTTATGGATAATGTTGGGATCATAACCATTATTGAAAGCAATTTGCTTGAGAGTATTAAGTTCTAAATTAAAGTTATCATTAGAAAATGGGAATTTGAGTAACCTATGAATGTAACTGTTGAAAGCAGCCATTTTATGTTGAGTTGGATGATTAAATGTTTCATGTATAACATGATCTGTTTGGGTGAGTTTTCTTTAAATATTGTAATCCAGAGAATCTTTATTCCAAGAAATTCAACTTATTGTCAGATTCTGGTTCCAGAGTAAAAGAGATGTTAGGATGGAGGTTATTAAGATCATCCAGAATTTGTATAGCATCATCTTGGGTTCCCTGTATGAGAGCTATACAATCATCAACATATCTTGACCAAAAAACTATTTTGCTCTTGTTGTTAACAAATTTCTGTTCTAAGCTGTCTAGAAAAATATCAGCTAGAAAAGGTGATAATGGAGATCCCATTGCTAAACCTGTTGTTTATATATTTTTTGATTAAATTGGAAGAAATCCTGATCAAGACAGAATTTAAGCACAGTAAGATAGCATCTCTGTCTTTTGCTGGTATGTTGCAATTGTTTAGAAAATTGTGTATTAAAGGTAATGTTTCAACTCTTGGTACAGAAGTGAACAAATTGGAAATATCAAAAGAAACTAAATAAAAACTCTCTTCTATTTTAATGTTATTTAAACGTTCTATTAGATCTAAAGAATTTTTTTTGCCCAAGTAATTGGGCAATATTTTATTAATAAATCTGTGCTCAATATCTGCCATTGATTTGATCAAAGTTGATTTATTCGAGCGTTCAACCTTACATCTATTAACTATATGTTTTAAAAACTCAACAAACTACTTGTTTGAGTCAATATTCTTTATACAATTGTAATATTTCGAGCTTATGTAAAAACTTTCGTTATTAAATAGACGGGTTTTACTTACTGGCTCTCTGATTTAATAACACCAATCTCATAGTTAAGCGGTGATCTAGTAGGCAACTGGTCTTCCCAAGTTCTTGGAACCCTTGGTGTTTTATCTAGAGGTGCCGGAGTGCCTCTGGGCGAATCGTAATCACCTGGTGGATATACCATCTTGGAAGGATGAGTGAAAGCTCCTTCGAGAGGTCTACGCCTGAACCACCTTCTGCATGAGGCGTTGTCGTACCATTCTCTGAAAATTAATTAAAAGTATTATTAGTGTTTTTTTTACCTTTTGTAAATGGATTCATATTTGCAAAATATTTATCATTCGGATAATATTAGCATTTATTTAGAATAAGTTGACCTTAAGACAAATTTCACTGTGGCTGTGGCTCAGATCACCTACTAGTTTACGTAACTTCATATGCAGGATCGGCTGGCAGGTAAAGGGGAATCAACCGATAAAAGAAATTCCACTTCTGGAAAAACTGAAACTGAAGTCACGAAAGTTAAAAGAAATTTGAAGAAGAAATAAAGAGGAAGTTCATTGAATATCAAGGAAATAAAGTGAATTCATTAGAAGAAGAAGACCAGTAGAACCTAATAAGTAGAACTACATTAACTACAACAATATCGATGCTAGGAAATAACGAAAGAAAAAAGGTATTTGAGAACAAAAGACGAATAGCTGGTAAACTGTATAGAAAAAAAAAGAGAAAACACATAAGCAAATAATTAATGGACATGGAAACAAACTTTAAAAAAGACAAAACACGAAAGTTTATATAAATTTATCAAACAAATAAACAAGAGCAGCAATAAAAACGGTGAAATAATCAGCAACACTAAAGAGATTACAGAAATTTCCCTGGATGTGATGGAATACCTATGTGAATTGCTTAAGTCGGGAGAAAAGGAAAATAATGAAATGGATATGTGAGGTCATACATAGAATAAGATGAAAAAAGAAAATGCCAAAAGAGTGGAATAAGTGTATCATGCTTCCAGTTCATAAAAAGGGCACAGGTTCAAACAAATATGAAAACTTTAGAGGATTCTCCTTGCTGTATTTTTCTTCTTCTTCTTCTTGTTTATTGGCGGATTAATACCTCTATGGAAGGTTGCCACACCATCTTTTGCGTTGTCGTCCGATACTGCTTCTACGGATTGGTGACGATCTCTTGCTATTTTAACGACACGGATCTTCTCCATTCTGCTTATGTGAATATTCCATTCTTTTCTTCTATTTTGTGTCCATTCATTTGTACACTGTACGTTACATTTTCTTCTAATGTCTTCACTTCTCTTTCGATCTCTCAGAGTATTTCCTGTAATTCTTCTTAGTACTCTCATCTCTGCAGTTTCCAGTAGCCTTTGCGTTGAGGCTGTGTCGGGTCTTGTTTCTGAGGCATATGCCATTATTTGTCTTATACTGGCTTTATAAATTCTTGAATTCATCTCACTGTAATGTGCCTATTTCGATATTTAGTGGTATTAAGGCATCATGCCAGTCTATTTGATTTTTGTACTTGATCTCTCACTTCTTTGTCCAGGTCTTCATAGCTAGATATTGCGATTCCCAGGTATTTTTTTCCATTACTTGTTCAATACTGATGCTATTAATTTCTATTTTACATCTGGTTGGTTCTTTGTTGACTGCTATTGTTTTACTTTACTGAGATGAGATTGTCATATTAAATTATTTTGCTCTTATGTTAAATCTGTGAATCACTCTTTGCACACTATCTTCATATTGGGCAATCAATATTGCGTCGTCTGCGTAACAAAGTATTTTATTTTCTTTGTTTCCCATTCTGTATCCTCTTTCTTTGGTAACGCTTTTAATGATTTCATCCATGATCAAATTGAAGAGCATGTGCTCAATGAATCCCCTTGTCTTATTCCGCTGCCTATTTCTATAGATTCTGTAAGTTGTCCATCGATTCTGACTTCCATTTTGTTATTTTGTTAGATGTTTTCGATAGTTTTTATATAGAGTCTTTTTCGATAGAGTCTTACTCTGTCAAACGCTTTCTTTAGATCAATCAGACATAGAAATGCCGGTCTATTATACTCTAATGATTTCTCAGTAATTTGCTTTATACCCAATATTGCATCTATACACGATCTTTCACATCTATACACGATCTTTCACTACGAAAATTCTGTTGTTCATCAGCGAAACTTAACCTCTGATTTATTAGCACTTGTAAAATTTTAGTTGTAAGTTTTGGCGTAGTATTTAACAAGTTTATACCTTAATGGTTTTCTGGCTATTTTTATCTCCTTTTTTGAATAGTAGAATTAGTTCGCTCATTCTCCATTCTTCTGGTATTTTATTCATTTGTGGTAACTTCTGGTGTTTCTGGTTCTAGCTTCGTTTGTTCTTCCTCTGCATAGAGCTTTTTTAGGTAGTCATGTCATGTATCCTTTTCTATGTGTTTTGGTTCTATTAGTTCATTTACCTCCGTTCTTTGACTTACTGTATTGTGTATATGTGTGATATAAAATATTTACCAGTAGGTATACTTGACCATAGACTTCATCGTTGAGAAGATTATCGGAGAATATCAGACAGGATTTAGACAAGGCAGATCAACCATCGACCACTTATTTATGGTCAAGCAAAGCACAGGAACATGACATAGATGTCTATATTTTCGTCGACTTAAATAAATCAATAAAGAATAAATAAACAGGGAGCATTCATACAACATATTTGTGAGTTTGAAATACCGTCCGGACTATTTAATCTCATCTGAATGACAATGAATTGGGACTCGATTTGAGCTGCAGTGCCATAGGAAGGATAAGAAAAATTAACTTAATGAGCTTCTATTAAAATAAATATTTTTGGATTTAATTCAGTAAAATGATGAATGAAGTCAATGTTTCAATTTTTATGTAGAAAAAACTGCAAGACCGCTAAGTGTCAGGACAAACGAGCATGAAATATACATCAAAACAAGAGAGTTCGAGAAATCGCAGATATGTAAATGTTCCTGAAACAATGAGCACAGACATGAAGAAAAATCAAAGAAGCTTTTATCTTACTTAATATAGAAATATGTGTAGCAAACTCATTATCAGAATATAGCAAGCTCTGGCTGCCAATACTAAAAGAAGTCAGCAGCAAGAACATACACCAACATTAGCGGATTAATAGAAAATCAAAGAGACTTCATCTACAATTATATATATATATATATATATATATATATATATATATATATATATAATACATATACAACACACAATACATAAACATTTTATACATATACAGATAATATATAATCACATAATACATAAACATACAAAACAATCAGAATTCGATATCATCCTGAGGGACAAACACCACCGTCAAAATTTTGAACTAAAAGCATGGCTATTTGCCACAAGATCGAGGCGAAATAAGTCACCTGTCAATTTGGAAAACACTAACCGCCAAACAAATTACTATTGGTTATAATAACAGATTATTAATTTAAAATATTCTTCTTTGAAAACGATTTACAGAGTGGGAATCGAAACGTCAAATAATAATTATAAATTGTGGCTTCCCACATAAAAATAATATTTAACGATCTTTTACCTAAAGTATTGTCATAGAGCCTATAATCATTTGTTCTTAATTTGATTATCGTCGTTTTTTAATGAAGGTAGGCTACATAAAGTTTTTTACTTTCTCATTTCTAAGAATTTGCAACACAATCTACTTTTTACTACTTACAGTATAATACATGAACTACAGGTTCAAAACTTTGAATATTAGAAGAAATAAAATATGTTTATGTAGCTAGTCAATTAAGGATCTTTGAGAAAATTTCAAGGCCAAAATTTTAACTTGCAGACAAACGTAACTATTTAAAAGTCTTACATGGAGTAGAGTTTGAACCATAAAGCTTTCGAAAGTATGTTTGGAATATCCTGGATGAATCACGTCACAAATGACGATCACGTAGAAGTATGACTTTTAATAAAAATGATAAAGACTGCATATACAGGACATATATCCCAACACCAGAGGTATCAGCTTCCAAAACTAATGATAAAAAGAAACATAGAGGGCTGCACAGGGCCTAGCCATAAGTAGATTTTATCTCTGAAGAATATCTATGACTGAACAGGACTCAATTTAAATACAACGGCACAAATCCACACAGTTAGCTGAAATTGTTGCCAACCTCAAATGATAAAAACCACACTTGAAGAAGAAAAAGAATGAATAACTTACAAATGTATATATACTAGGCTGTTCGATAATCTGCAAACCGCTGTTTATTCGCACTTGATAAGCTCATAAAATCAAAAAATCTCACAAGAAGTTCAGAGATCAAAATCTATAAATCCATCGTCAGACCTGTAATAACATACGGATGCGAAACGTGGACAATGACCAAAGCAAACGAAAAAAAGCTCAGACGCTTTCAACGAAAAATACTAACAATTTTCGGACCTCACCAAAACTGCCACAAACCAGTATAAGATCAGAACCAATATCGAATTAAAAGCACTCTACAACTACGCCAAGATTGTCCAAGAAATTAAATTACAGCGACTAAGATGGGCAGGCCACGTGCACAGACTGCATAACGAGAGACTTGTAAAACTGGTACGGGAGGAGATTCCCACAGGCAAAAGATCACTCGGACGTCCCAGAATGCGATGGAGAGATAACATCCAAGCAGATCTCTGCAAAATGAGCCCTAGGTTGATGGAAGACCGAACAAATTTGAAAAAAGTTGTACAGTCAGCCAAGACCCACCCAGGGTTGTAGCGCTACATGATGATGATGATGTTCGATAAGCAGGGTCGTTTCTATTAGAATATTTTTTTATGTTGATACACTCTTTATATGAACGTATGTTAAGTTTCATTTCAATTTGCCAATTGATTCTTTGTTTACAAATCATTAAGTATCGACGTGTCACAATATTTTTTTAAAATGAAAAAATCAAGTATCGTACAGTGATTGAATTTTTCCGTACAGAAATTGAATGAAGGACATCCAAAAACAACAACAACAGCAGAAATCGTAGAAAAAATAAGCAGTACTTATAAGCAATATTTTGACTGAAGTATTTGATTTCAGACAGCTGTGTTTACAATGGATGCCGCATTCGCTAACAATGAAACAAAAACACATTCGAATGTGACTTTCGGAGCAACATGTAGATCATTTTCAAAACTATAAAGTAGATTATGTGCATCGATTCATCACTATGGATGAGACTTGAGTATATCACCATG